ATTTGCCATGCTTTTGTCTACCCAGCCTCTTTGGACTCAGCTTCCTTGCCACATCACCCGACCATTCCAATGTGTACATTCCACTGAGGATCTATATATTCTTGCCTAACCAATGTTCATGAAAAGCTTGAATATGCTTTGATTTTCTTTGTGTGGCTGCCTATCCTAATGAACTTTTAAAAATGACATTTTTTTTTTTTTTTTGAGAGGGAGACAAGTTTGATTGTTTTGTATGCCAAATTTGTTAAGATTGGCTGGAAAAGACCATTTTGCCCTTTGTTATCTTTCTCTTCCCCATTCATTTGGTTTTTTCATCCTCAAACTGGCAGTTAAAATTAACATGACAGGTCCGAAAGGCAAAACAGATTCTGTATAATGAAACAAGAAAATGATTTTTTTTTTTATTCCAAGTTCCAACTACACAAAAAACTATTATATGAAATTGTAAAAGTACAAAAATATTCTTAATGAATAAGAGTTATTAGTCATATTTAAATAGAGAATAATTTTAATTTAATAAATGCATCAACACCTATCATTCTATCATTAAAATTTTAAGTTTTAATTTTTCTCGTTTTAAATTCAAATTTGATATTAATTTTTTTATTAAGTATATTATAAAATACATTGAATCAAAAAAGTGTATTAATTATTATTCTATTTAAATATTTTCAAAACCCAAATGGACCGAAAAAGACGGTTAAGATGAAACAAAATGCAAGGCTATTTTGGTACAGTTCTATTCCTTTGTTATTAAGAAAGCAGGATCTTGTTTTCTTTAATAGGTATGACTGGTCAGACAGAAGAATCCATGGCATGGACCACCTAGAATTACTTAATTGCTATTGTGGCAAGCTAAGTCACATAAAAGAGGCAGACTGGAGGAATAGGGCAGCCACCAAAAGAAACGAACACACATGCTTTACGCCCATTCTAAGATCTCCTCACTTTAGAATTCCAAGCTCGCTTCTCGATGCAACAAAGACACCAAGTACTTGGTTTCTTGTGCTAAATGTGTTTCTTTATGCTTTTCTTTGCACTTCTTCAGGCAGCCAAATTCTTAATCCCCATCCAATGATTCATAGAAGACCCACCTCAGGTTTCTCTCCTTCCAAAATGAATCTGTAAATTTTTCTCGTCAAATCATGAAGACCATCTTTTCCTTTTATCTCCTCTCTTTTCTTTGCTATTGTTATTAAACTAAGGAATATCACATGCAACTTGGGAACATTCTAAAGAATAAGTTCTTATACTTTATTATCATAACTAGGGAATGAGATCTGATGGGGATTGAGATGAAGGGGAATGAGGGCTGATCGGCCATTTGTCCGAGCATGCCACTCACTTAAATGTGCTGTTAATGTGCTGATACTCCCCTTTATTATTATTATTTTTTCTTATCTTACAACTAAATATTAAAGAACAGAAAAGCAAAGCTAAATGAGGAGTTGCTTTCCTACTCCTCAATGTGACATATGATCATGACATGAGTGAAACAAAGTATCTAAGGCTTTTTATGAATATGAGAGAGTCCGCTTAATTGTTGGAGAGTAAGTCGAAGTATTTAAGTTTTTTTTTTTTTCTTTGAGGTAAGGCAATTGAAGTATTTAAGTTTTGATGATACATGTTTCATTAGTTATTACTTATTTGATATGTAGGAGGGTCAAATCACATATTCAAATAGAAAAATGTTTTATGTACAAACTGTAACTCCACAATTTCATCAACAAATATTTTTTATAGAAAGTATTGTTATATTAATAATTGAAGCGATTATAATGCAAATTATATTTTTTCATATAGGATGTGCAAGAAATATAAAACACATTAGGAAAAATCTCTTAACATTAGTATACATGATAAGAGCATTTGTAAAATTATGTAAAAATATAAAAAGATTATTTTGCAACTTTCTATTCATTGCTTATAATCACATCTATTTTATCATTCAATTTTAACATAAGAGATTGGATGACATAGCAACGTAGCATCTTTTAGCACTACAACGCTCTATCAAGATTTAGATGAGCCCTTCATCTGCAGATGGATGAAGGACATTC